GATAAAGTGAGAGGATGCAAAATTGATAATCAAAGGTCCGTGTTTGCGATGGTGCATGGTGTGCATCAGGTATCGCAGCGTAATGGGACCAAATGCACATGAAAGTATAGAGTATTATCTTTAAAATGCTACTTTACCCAGCTCGATGTGATCATTTTTCACTGAGTTGTTCCAAATTTTGCTAAAAATGCAGTTTTCCTGTTAAATTTGCATAATTCAGTGAATAAGTATCGCATCAAGCTCTATAACGAAGTATTTTAAAGAAAACATTCTATACTTTTAGGTACTTTTCGTCCCATTGAGCTGCGACACTTACTTTGCTCCATCTGCCGTCGCACGCTCGAACCTTTTTTTAGCAACTTTTCATGTTCTCCTTTTTATCACCCGCCATTTTGAAAAAATATCGTTGCGCACAATTTCGATAGATCTTTCGAAAAGTACGGTTTCAAAGCTTTCAAACCGTTTTTGAAATTTGCTGCTAGGATATTTAGGTGTCGAGATATTCAATTTCGAATTTGCAACAAATGTCGATTCAGCGAGGCTTAAGGGGCTAAGAGGCTCTACGGTTCGTTTGGCTCTTTCATAATTTCAATAGCTGTGTTCATGTTTCTCTATATAATAATTTACATAACCTGCACAATATATTCAATGATTTGCATTTATTATTTTGAAAGCCAGGGAAATGAAAGTAAAATTCAATTTAGGTTCTTCATTTTACGTAATCGATATTACGTAATAAAGATGAATTGCGTTTTAAGATACCGCTGTTATTAGCTCAAATTATGGTTGTAAGTCTTCCCAATATAAACCGCATGGAGTTTTACTGGTAGGAAATGTCCCATTGTATGTAGTGTGTGTGTGTGTTTGTGTGTTTGTATACCACAAGGATAAGGACTCCGTGGTTCGTCAGCTCCATAGTATTTCAAGATTTCACACCCTCCTTGTGATGGGTGTTTGTGTGTGTGTGTGTGTGTGTGTGTGTGTGTATGTGTGTGGTGTTACAGCAGAGATAAGGACCCCGCAGTTCGTCACTCCTGCAGTAATTAATGACTCCAAACCCTCTCTGCTGTGTGTGTGGTGTGTGTGTACTAATAGTGGATATGACTGCCTCGTGCGCGTATTACCTCATTCATACGATCAGGCATACTCCTTATTAGTCTTTTAATTTCATCCTGCGTAATTGTATTCCATTCGTTTTCGAGAATTATTCGCAGTTCTCGCAGTGACTGAGGAGCAGGTACATAATTTCATACTTTCCTGCAAAGGTTGTCCCATAAGTGTTCGATTGGATTTAAATCTGGACTATTTGCTGGCCAATCGAGTCGATTTATGCCAACTTCATCGAAGAAATCAAGCACTCTTCTCGCAGTGTGTGGTCGAGCATTGTCTTGCATAAACAAGAAGTTCTCTCCGATGAAGGGTGCGTACGGAATAACATACGGAATGAGTATGTCTTCCACATATACATCTGCGTTCATATTCTTGTCAAAAAAGTGCAGATCTGTATGAGCATTAGCTGAAATTCCTGCCCAAATCATTACAGAGCCTCCATTGTAGCTATGCCTCTCACTTACCGTACAGTCTGCAAATCGTTCTCCACCGCGACGATAAACTCGTTCTCGTCCATCTGGAGAATAGATACAAAAACGAGATTCATCGCTAAAGAGTACTTTGTTCCAGTCTGCGTAAGTCCAGTCTCTATGCTCAACTGCAAAATTGAGTCGAGCTTCGCGATGGTGACATTTAAGCAAAGGTTAAATGTACAGTTGCTGGCCTGCGCGAAAGCAGATTTTGTTCCTTTAATCTTCTCCGAACGGTGTTAACGGATACATTAATATTGCGGACATCCCTTAAATTGTTTCTAATTTGAACAGATGTTCGATGTCTGTCTCTTAACGAATTTGAAACAATAAATCGGTCATCATTGTGATTGGTACATCGAGGACGTCCCGAACCAGGCCTTCTATGGAAAGAATTGGTTTGTAAGTACCTGGCATAAGCACGTTGCACAGTTGACACTGACAAATCAAGTGCCTGAGCAACGTACCTTCGACTTCTGCCATCTTCAATTAAAGCAATAACTTGAGCAGCCTTTTCAGGATTTATCGTCGCCATAATCGACGCAATAATTTCGATGCGAAACAATCAATTATGGTTAAAATTGATGAAGTTGCACGAAGCAACGCGCCTCGAAAGGAAAAGATCACGGAAAAAGAAAAGTCGCACAAGGCAGCGCTTATCGGAGTGAACACGTTCGGAAAAGGAAAATTGTTTGTCTTTGTTTATTATCTTGGCACATACATTTAAGAAAAATCCAGTCAAGCCAGACGTTAAAGCCCGGCGCACCGACAGAATCTCAGTCAAGCCAGAACGTAAGCCCGGCGTACTGACAAACTCGCGAAGTCCAGCGTACAAGAGATAGTGCCACTATCGGCGGTGGACCGTACGAAGGCAATCTCTGATCGTCTCCGCGGGCACTCTTATATGCCCTGGGCAGCTCGAACTCGCGTGCGAGCCGAGGGGCTCGCGCGCGCGACAACCCAAATCGCCGCGTCGCGGCGGCTCCGTGGACTAGGAGCGCCAGGGAATTTCGACGTTCAGGTGGCGTCCAGCGACTCGGCATCCCGCGCGCCGGGTCACCGCGAACTCAGGCGCGATCCTGAACAGCATATTCAAGCTGTGTACCATAATGGCCAATCGTACGGAGAAGGTAGAGAGCTAGGGACAGCTTCGCGAACTAGAGTGTATACCACAGTGATCATGCGTAACTGAAGGGTAAAGAATGATAACTTTTGATAAAAATTAAATTTCCAATTCGCAAAATTGTGTAAATTATTGTATAGAGAATAATGAACGCGGCTATTGAAATTATGAAAGAGCCAAACGAACCGCAGAGCCTCTTAGCCCCTTAAGCCTCGCTGAATCGACATTTGTTGCAAATTCGAAATTGAATATCTCGACACCTAAATATCCTAGCAGCAAATTTCAAAAACGGTTTGAAAGCTTTGAAACCGTACTTTTCGAAAGATCTATCGAAATTGTGCGCAACGATATTTTTTCAAAATGGCGGGTGATAAAAAGGAGAACATGAAAAGTTGCTAAAAAAAGGTTCGAGCGTGCGACGGCAGATGGAGCAAAGTAAGTGTCGCAGCTCAATGGGACGAAAAGTACCTAAAAGTATAGAATGTTTTCTTTAAAATACTTCGTTATAGAGCTTGATGCGATACTTATTCACTGAATTATGCAAATTTAACAGGAAAACTGCATTTTTAGCAAAATTTGGAACAACTCAGTGAAAAATGATCACATCGAGCTTGGTAAAGTAGCATTTTAAAGATAATACTCTATACTTTCATGTGCATTTGGTCCCATTACGCTGCGATACCTGATGCACACCATGCACCATCGCAAACACGGACCTTTGATTATCAATTTTGCATCCTCTCACTTTATCATCCGCCATTTTCAAAAAAATGGCCGAGCATAATTGCCATTCAGATATTCTTAAAGAGGACGTTTCAAGCTTCATTTTGCATTTCTGCGCATATTTGTATCTTCATTATTTACCAAGTTATGATCATTTGAAATTTTGTAATTTTTTCCCAAATTTTTAGTGTACCGGGTTTTTTGCGTTTGAGTGTATAAAAATACATATAACAATATATATATTGTAGGTTACGTGCACACTAATTAAATATATTTATTATTGTAAATTATATTCGTACTAAAGGAATAAAAACAGTTATCATCTGTTACATACAATATTTCGAAATATTAGTAGCATTGATATGATTTACATGCTGCAACTCAGACTTTTGCTGTGTTGAACAGTGTGAAGGCTCGTCTATAATAGCTGTAAAAGTAAAGCCCTATGCACAATGGCTGCGTTCAGTGGAACAAAATGATCAATGAGCGCTTACTGATTATTGTCTGTGATTGGAGCATTCTGTTAGATTCTTCATAGACCCAGAAGAATTTACCAATCAGGAGCGAGAATCACTAAGCGTTCACTGATCACTTTGTTCTGCTGAACGCAGCCAATGAAAACTACAGGCAATAAGAACAGAGAATAACACAGGCAGTAGATTTCGACCTATAGGAAACCGTATATCAATGCATAATGAAAAATATAGGAACACGGAGCAGGCAACGAAAACAAAATTTTCGACGTGTTGGATTTCTGTTCTCTGTTGCCTGTACCTGACGAATCAGAATTTGATTTTAGCTCCGTAAAGTTAGCCGAACCACTTTGATTTTTTAAAAATTAAAATTAACTAATCGTTTGGTGGTCGTTGGTAAATAAAATAAAATAAAAAAAATCATGAGCGGTAAAATGGTGGGGATGACTGTAAAATTAGCCGTGCAAATACATTATTTATCAAGCAATTTTATTCAAATTAGTCTTAATTGAAAGAAAATCGTTCGATGGTGATTGGTAGTCCAATTTAAACATTTGGTGGTTAATCGTTCTTTATTAATTAAATAATTAAAATTTTGGTGTAAAGTTAGCCGAACATTTGCATTCTCAGTCTAATCGAGTTCAATAAGGGCTTATTCGATGCAGAATCGTTTGGTGATCACGAATACATTCTTTAAAACGTTTGGTGGTCTGTAGTTTATCCAGTAAATAAAAAAAATCATGAGCGGTAAAATGGTGGAGGTGATTGTAAAATTACCCGTGCAAATACATTATTTATCAAGCAATTTTGTTCAAATTAGTCTTAATCGAAAGAAAATCATTCGGTGGTGATTGGTAGTCCAATTTAAACATTTGATGGTTAATTATTAGGTTATATGGTCACAAATTCTTTTTACATTCAACCATGATAATTCCTTATGGCTGACGGCTGACTTTATATGTATTGTAAACTCGGCCTAAGAATCTCGATAGGGACTCTAGAAATTCTCTATTCGAAAACCAATCGTTACGTCTAAAGGCCAAATCATATACTAAAGTCCTAAATTTAGGCCTCTAATACCTCGTCTACAATGAGGTCGTAGAGTCATATAATATGGTCGTAGAGTCGTGGCGGTAGTCGCTTGAGAGATCGTAATCGCTGTCGTTCAAGTTAGGATCGTCTACAATAGAGTCGTAAAGTCATAGAATATGGTCGTAGAGTCGTAGCAATGGTCGACTGAAAGGTTATTTTCGATCGCAAAACGCGTGCAAGCACAGTCGTTTGAGTTGGTTCCAATCCAATTTCAGCGACTATTGTAACGACTTGAGCTACAATAGACCAATCAGAGGAAAGATTTTATATATCACGCTATGTAAACATCGTGGGAAAATGATATCGGTGTGTGGACTGCACTTATTTATTCATTTTTGATAAAGTCATCTTCACAAATTTCATCAGTATCACAAGGATCAATGATAAAGAATTTATCAGCAAAATCGCCTACTTGCAATAAAAATTTTATTAATATTTCTGAAGGCAAATGATTGATAAATTACTATTTTCCACAGAAAACTTAATCATTAATTACATTCTTAACACTAACATTCTTAACACTTAACATTCTAAATAAATTTCAGATAGCGAGAATATTGATCCAGCAAATAAGCATAACCTTAAAGTACCTAAAACAGATATCAGAAAAAGAAAGAATATAAGTCTTGATGTGAATTCTCTAATTATGGAATCATCACAGGCTGTTACTGCAGCCTGTTCAGCTTTGCCAGCATTGCTGAACAGTACAACTTCCACGCCAGATACAGAAGAAGAGAAAAGTATAGTGACAGTCTTATTACATGGAATAAAACGTGTAACCTATGCAACAAAGAACAAAATGTTTTATCAAACTGTTGGAAATATTGGAATCATTTCAGCATGAGTGAATAATTATATAGTCATTGCTGATAGAAAATATTAAAAATATAATTGTCCTATTATAGCATATGTTATAGTGTAGTTGGATTCTATATGGAATATTGTCAGCAATTAGCAGAGAAAGTTATGTAAATGTTATAAAATTGATCTGATTGGTATATATTTTTAAATTCAATCAAGATTAAAAGCATACCATCAATCAGATTCACGTATTTTTACACAGTTGCAAAACTTTCTTCTCTATATTCTCTATATAACAGTTGTACTGTTAAAAGAAGAAAACTCAATATGAATATTAAAAGTAATACTTTTGTGGAACATACAGTTTAATCATAAAACAATAGCCTTGCTTTGTGGTATCAACAGATTTTCATAAGATATATCATCTTATATATCTCCTTTTTATATATCTTTTTATATATCTCCTTTTTCTAAGAAAAGGTCTGACATATGGCACAAATAATCATATTGGACAGGTGTCATTCATGTAATACTAAAAAATTTTTCATGATCTGTCTCATATGCCTCTTTGAATTGTTTATTGAAATATTCTAAATAATCTCTACTTCTATTTATAGGTCTTATCCACTATCTTCTTTGCCTTTCTCGTTTTAGATATACATATATCGATATTAAATTCAAATGGTAAGCATTTAATAACAAAGAAATATTTCAAATTGCACGGAATTCTATTATATTTCTATTTCAATAATACACATAAACATAATCGATCATTCGTATTATTGTATGGGCAATATCCTGCTCTCTGATTGGTTTACACTCCGATCCAGCGACTAATTGAACTTTGTACAAGCATCGCCATAGGACCCAGCTCACGACTTTACGACTTTACGACTTCACGATTTTACGACCCCATTGTAGACGTAGCATAAAATCATACTAGCGATTGTTAGTCAGATAAAAAAATACGTGATTAAAGCTGTTGTTAAAACTGTGAATGCTTCGAAATACCATTCTATCTTAAAGGTCGGAACAAATTTTTGCATAACGCATAACGCATCGAGTTCTAGGTTGCGTTCTGTTCCACGTATATGCGCGCATTTATCTATAGTTTATGTTACGTATACTATAAAAAATACGCGCATATGCGTGAAACGGAACGCATCCCTACTTGCGCCTGGCTCCTGATTGGTCGCCGCAAATCTCACCGCATGTATGTAGAGACCATGGTGGAAGGAAAACAAAGTGTGCTCAGAGAAGTTGAAATTCAGCATGTTCTGCGCAGATTGGGCCAAATTAGCGGCCATATTGGATTTAGATTACGGTCTTTAATCCTATTGGCCAATAATCAATATATCTCCTGTTTGGCCCAACGCATTTTAGAGCGGACAAATCTACTGACCAATCACGGACATGTCACTGACCAATCACGGCTTTGACGAATCTCTTATTATAGGCATAGAGCTTATACTAATGGAGGAGCCATAGCGCGCGCGAGGAAGATCGACAGAGAGAGATATATTCTGATATTTCTATCCTTATTACTGTGGGCACCATGGAGGTAGGAATATCTGGAGGGAGCATATTTCTCCGGTCATGAAGCCTAAGGGGAAAGGGGAGTGTAAGTCTATTGTAACGTATATGAACTACCAAGATGGCGACAGCAGTGACGGTGATTACATGGAATATCTATTGTAACGTCTTGGAAATACAACTTTCACATGAATAAAAATAATAAATTGAATTTGATGCATTGTGAGAAAAAGTAATTTCAGAGAACAAAAATATAATCAATTTACGTATGGTTTATTATGAAATATACAAAACGTATGACAAAATAAAAATTGCATTATAAATATAATATAATTATAAAAGTAAATTATAATTTTATAATATAGTTATAGTTATAGACTATAACGCATGTCTTACTTTTTATTAACATAAAAGAAATATAAATGTAAACGCAAAAACTACCAGTAACACAATACAATGTTATAATTTTCTACTCAAGATGTAACTGTTACGTAGGATGCACATTATGATATTGTATAATTAGAAATTAGAACATGAGTGTAATGTTACTGTTAGTTATTGTTTACTAGAATTATTGTCCCTTAAACAAAACTATTTTGTTAAATGCTTGCCTTATACTTATGTTATCACGAAGTATATTACGCCCTATAAAATGTAATCTTATTTTAATATATTTAGAGGCGATTGCTCTCATAAAATGAAACACATGATTTTCTAAAATTGTTTGATCACGAGAATGTTCTTCTATATTTGAGAAAATATTTCTATTTTCAATGAGACGTTGCAAAACTTGATTCAAGAGATAAATTTCTGTAAATTTTTTTGATAAACATTTATCGCCACTTTCACGCAAAGCTAAACGAATTGCAATTTCAGCTTTAGTACAAATTACAATTACATCGTGTGAAGGCAATCTTAAGCCCCCCCGATTTTTAATATTAATTAAAGAACATTCGATATGTGTCTCGTTGCCAGTAAGAGCTTCGATACAAGTTTCACAATGTAGAATTTTTTCTAAATGTCTTACAACAAAACCTGCAATATAAGCTATAACTCTCGTTGTAAATTCTGAAAGCGTTATTGTATCAAGCAAAAGAGGTAAATTTTCGTTCCTATCTTCATGATTGCTATCATCTATTACTCGAGATTTCGGAGTTGACTGATTTATTATAGTTGCAGAATTCGCAGAAACATGTAGTATTGAAATTATTTCTAGCGGGATGCAATTACCAGTTGCTGTCTCTGTGATCTCTGTATGGACAAGAATTTTTTTATAAGCGGCTTTAAATTACCGAGCCGTCGGGTTATTGTTAGAACCTCCATGAGCTCGTATAGAGCTGAATAACAATTCAACGTGATCTTGGTTAAATTTATAACCTGATATATATTTTAATACGTCTTGACTAACAACTAAATCTTTATAAAGTATTGTTATACTTTTGATACATATCATAAAACCGAGGAATGCACATTTATTTTTAGGATAAATCAACAATTGACCATCTGTCTTTCGTAATTGTGATAGGAAATTATAGCCTTCTTTTAATTTTTCCAAAATTATAGAACTATTGTTTTTATTTAACGGTTGTTTGAACCCTATCTGTTTCATGTTCCTCGAATTTAAGATATCAAAAAGATCATTTATTATTCGTATGAATCTTATCGTTGGGGCCGAATTTGCAAAATCTGTATATCGTAAATCATTTTTACAAATTTCTAATGCATCAGCTACAGAATTACTGAAGATTTGCACTGTGAGTTTTACTTTCATTTTTTGTTTATGGTATTGTATATGACGCGTTCTTAATTTATTACCCAAGTGTAGACTTTCCTTAACTTGAATGTCATTAAGCTTCGTAAAATGTTCCCATTGGATCATATCACCATTGTCATCAATTATTGATTTATGTTCTCCAATACAATTACGTAATAGTTTCACACAATGGCATGGGTCGAGAAATACAGTAACTTTTCTGTCCGTTATCGGATGAGAGAAATAAGTCTGAAAAGATGTAAAGTTAAAATTACATCCTAAAAGTGTGCACATGGTTAAATTAGCTGGAGCCCCGTCAAAAGTTACAGATATTATATTTATTTCATGCTCATGCAATAGTATTAATGCCTGACGAACCATATTGAACTTTTGCTCTGCATTCAGACCAGAAATAAAAAAATATCCAATGGGAATTTTCCAGGATCCATTAATACAATTTACAAGAAACACTAGTGCTTCTTTTGCTATTATACCGTATTCACAATCAATATTAGGCCCCAAGTCTATATATCCATAATATTTCTCACCATCATATTCTACATGTTGTCTTACAGCCATTTCATCGAATATAAGAGCGCCAAAAAGAGGATAATTTATTAAATTAGCACGTTTTTTAATGGACTTCAATGCTTCCTCGTTAAAACCAGGTTCACCGTGAACCGACTTGTACCATTTACTTATTGTTTTTGGATGGGGTAAACAAGTATCAAATTTTTTTCGAATAAATGCATACGCTCGTGGCGAATAAAAGTGCAACGTTAAAGCAAACGATCTTAATTCTGGCCTATACTTTTTAGGCGTTGGAGTTTTATTAATCTTATTAACTTGACGTTTTAATAATTGTTTGTTGAAATTACCTAAATCTTTTAAGACATCCAGCTGTTCTGCATTAAGAAGATTTTTTTTTTTCAAACATGTCAATACATTTTTCAATTTTGCAACACACTTAATGGTTCGTCGTTGCTTTTGTTGTAACATTTTAATTTTTTTCTGAAATTCTTTTCTCGTATACACCAACGCAGTTCTCAACGATTGTTTCCGTGGCGTGTTTTCTTATAGATATGGCGAAACAATTATTCCTTGATTTTTAATTCTTGAAGTACGTGGTGTACTCGTCTGGGAAACTGTATCAAATACAACGTTGATGAAAAAATATAACTAAACGAAAAAAATTTCATAAACATTATTCTTTTATTAGGAAAAAAAAAGTAACTACATATCTTGAGTAGAAATACTAAATTTTTATTCTATTATTCAATCTATAGTAACTAGTAACAAAACTATTAAAAATCACTGGCCAATTTATTATTAATATAAAATTTTTGTAATAGTCCGCTATCACTTAACAGTGTTTCTACAAAATGATTTGTTTTATCTATTGCAATTGATAAATATACCTTGTTCAATGTTGTCACATATTTCCATGGAATCAAGATTTTCTGCTTCTTTGATTCTGCATGTTTCAGGATCATCTATATAATCTATATAATTGTCATTAAAAGAATCATTATATTTTATAAGAAATTATTAATAAGATTATTCATAACTCCACATCACTAAACAGTTACAATAAGATGATCACTAAATAATATATTTTTTATAATAAGATAATTATGTTTTAACATACTTTTTCTGCATTGTGATGTATTTTTTGTATTTTTACAGGATCAAGATTCTGTTGCTCTTTCATTAAATTATAATTATGTTCGTCCAATATTTTTTTTCGTTTCACAGGAGACTCGTCATTTTTCATATTCATATTATTCTGTAATACATATTTTGTTAATACATATTGTCTTACAAAATATAAAATACTTGAAACTGATAATTCTATGTCTATACATACAAATGGGACAGCACCAGATCTAATTCTAATACAATTAAGTGATGTTTTGCCCATATCACTTTCTTCAAAATGTAATGAGCAAATAAATGCATTTTCTGGAACATTACTGTCATTTAAGTCCATTCTATCAAGCCACTTTTTACGTACTTGTGGTTTCTTTGGAATTCTGTAATTATCAAATTACTTTAAAAAATGTCAACAATAATATAAAATATAATTTTACTTTGAATAATCAATAGTATTAAAACATACCTGTGAAATGTAATTAGTCTGCCATGCGAGTATTCCCATCTCAATTGTGTTTTATTTTTTCGTGTTACGTGTCTTCTGCTCTTGCAGTCTTTTGTATAACAATCAGGCATATTGCGTGAATTATTATGTGAATTTATTATTGCAAAGCACTTTATTACAGATATAAACAACTTTATTGCAAGCACTTTTATTACAAAATATGTGCAACACACACAACCTCAAAATTCTTTGGTTATAATCACGCCGTATGACGTGAAAATAGATTTGAGTTACATATATCGTATCTTATATATATGTTATTTTTGAACCACCAAGATGGCCGCTACGGATATTTCCTCTTACCTCTCAGGCTTCACTCCCCTCGCCCTCAAAAATACTTTATGCTCCCTCCAGATATTCTTACCTCCATGGTGGGCACCTTCACTCCTATAATCGGGCGATTATATTTTTTGGGATGCACGCGGTATCATTCACATCGATTACCTTGAAAAGGGTAAAACGATCACCGGCGAATATTATTCAGAGCTTTTGGACAGATTCGATATTGATTTGAAGCAAAAACGACCGCATTTGGCGAAGAAAAAAGTGCTGTTCCATCAGGACAATGCATGGGTGCACACGTGTGTAGTCACCATGGCGAAAATCCATAAATTGGGTTACGAACTGCTACCCCATGCAGCATATTCACCAGATTTAGCCCCCTGCGACTATTTCCTGTTTCCAAACTTGAAGAAATGGCTGGGCGGTAAGAGATTGGGTCGAATGAAGAGGTCATCACTGAAACAAACGCCTATTTTGAGGGCTTTGAGAAAACCTATTATTTGGAAGGAATAAAAAAATTGGATAATCGATGGACTAAATGTATCGAGCTAAAAGGAGACTACGTTGAGAAATAAAACGCTTATTTGCCGAAAAAAATATCTTTTATTAAAAAAGTCACTGACTTATCAAACTACCCTCGTATTTACATAGTATTTATATAGTAAAGACAATTGCCGGATAATCGCTGATGCGATTACGCTATCCTTTCATCGCATTTTTTCATATATATCTTTTCTCACAGACTTCGGACAAATGTGTGTGTGCATTGTCATTTCGACTTTTCTACACACAGATCTTATATGAATGTGAATGCGACGTTGCCGATATTTGCCTTCTCTCCAAAATGTGCATTTTGCTGCTGCTTCTCGGATTCTTCGATTCGCTGATATATATACAGTGTAACATAATAAAAAATAATTTGAGCAATGAATATTATTACAAGAAAATGATTCTTCAGAAATAGTATGTTTGTTTTCACGTAAATCGGCTTCTCACTTTATCGTGTCAGCGACTTCTTTTTGTCAAATTTACGTCATATTAGCAGTATGGAAACATTTTCATACAGTGAATATTCCTGTCAAAATAAAGCGGAGTATTACAAATCATCCGAAAAAAGCGATGGGAAACTATTGCGAATAGGACATCAAGTTCCTCCTGTAACGTTTACGTCGCATTGGAAGTACGAAATTGAAAATGCTTTCGTACAGTGAACATTCCTGTCAAAATAAAACGGAGTAATTCAAGACATCCGAGAAAAACGATGGGAAACTATTACGATTAAGACACCGACTTCCTTCTGCAAAGTTTACGTCGCACGTTGGCTGCACGGAATGAAAAAGACTTTTGTACAGTGCATATTCCTGCCAAAATAAAATGGAATAATGCAAATCATCTGAGAAAAACGATGAGTAACTATTGCGATTAGGACAACGAGTCCTTCTTGCAAAGTTTACGTCGCCCTGGCTGTACCAAATTGAAAACCTCTTCGCTTCGCATAATAAATATTCGTACGAAAATAAAAAAGAGTAATAAGAAACATCTTGGAAAAATGATGAAAAATTCGATGCGCCGAATTGAGAATATTTTTATAAAGGTAAAGTACATGTGTGAGAATATGAAACGGAGCATTGCTCAATATGAAATTAATATTCTATATCGGCCTAGAAAAATTTTATGTGTAATTAAAAATTTACGTCGCACTGACTGGACTGAATTTCAAATCTTTTTGCATGGCAATGTTTCGTTTCATCTTTGCACGTATTTTGACTATGCGAAAGGGCTTTGATAAAGTGTGAGAGAGAGAGAGGATGAGAGAGACAGAGATAGTGTAAGAAAGACAGAGAGTGTGTGAGAGAGAGGGTGAGAGAGAGAGAGAGAGAGAGGGGGGGGGAGAGGGAGAGAGGGAAAGAGGGAGAGAGGGAGAGAGGGAGTGTGAGAGAGAGTGTGTGAGAGAGAGACAAAGAAAGAAGGACAGAGTGGGAGAGAGGGAGAGGGAGAGAGTATGAGAGAGAGAAAGAGAGAGTGTGAGTGAGAGAGTATGAGAGAGAGATTTTGTGAGAGAGAGTATGTGAAAGAAAAAATCTGAGGAAGAGATTGTGAGAGATAGGGAGTGTAATAAAGAGAGAGTGTGAGAGAGGGAGGGAGTGAGAGAGAGGGGGAGGGAGAGAGTGAGAGTGTGAGTGAGAGAGAGTGTAAGAGAGAGGAGAGTGTGAGAGAGATAGAGTGAGAGAGAGAGAGAGAGAGAGAGAGAGAGAGAGAGAGAGAGAGAGAGAGAGAGAGAGAGAGAGAGAGAGAGTGCAAGAGAGTAAGAGAGAGAAAGAGAGTGTGAGAAAAAAAGAGAGAGAGAGTATGAGAGAGAGATTTTGTGAGAGAGAGTGTGTGAGAGAAAGAGTGTGGGAGGGAGATTGTGAGAAATAGGGAGTGTGACAAAGAGAGAATGTGAGAGAGAGAAAATGTGAGTGAGACAGATTGTAAAAGAGAGAAGAGTGTGAGAGAGAGGAGAGTGTGAGAGAGAGAGAGAGAGTGTGAGGAAGAAAGAGTGCGACAGAGAGTATGTGTCAGAGAGAGGGAGAGAGAGAGAGAGAGAGAGAGAGGGAGGTAGGAAGGGAGGGAGAGATAATAAAACAATGTAATAAAAAATAAGGGTTCCCATTTAAAAAACGCATGTCAACTTCCAAATGACCTTGAAGGTCATGGCCAATGCCAAATTCATGGTCACCATCAAATCCGTCACTCGATTTTCTACAACTTTTGTCTTTAAAGTTTTTCATGAAAACTTGATCCTGCAAAGTTATCCTGGGGGTTCGACATTTTTAAAACACTCTGTATATACATATGTATATCAAAATTCACTAACGTCGGTAACAGATGATAACGTTCCCTACTTTTTGACTATCAACCCTATCATTTCTTTTTCACTCACTCACTCATCCCCTTCCCTCTCTGCCTTTCACCTTCCCTTCCCTTTTTCTCACACTCTCCCTCACACTCTCCTCTCTCTCTCCCTCCCTCCCTTCCTCCTCCCTTCTCTTTCACACTCTCTCCCTCAAACTCTCCTTTTTCTCTAACCCTCCTTCGCCTACTCTCACCCGCTATCCTCAAACCTCTCCCCCTCCCACTCTCTCACCTTCTCTCTCCTTCTCTCTCCCTCCCTCTCTCTCTCTCTCACACTCTCTCCCTCACTCTCTCTCACACTCTCTCCCTCCCTCTCTCTCCCTCTCTCTCTCTCTCTGTCCCTCTCTGTCTCTTTTATTTACGCGCGCGCCATTCTAGCTGATTCATATAAAGTTTAGAATAAATATTATAAATCATAAAAATAATCCCTATAGTGAAATATAAATATAATATCCGACTCCAACATACGATGTATTAGGCGCATACAGTTTGAAATTTAGAGAGAGGGAAAGGGAGAGAGTGTGAAAAAGAGAATGAAAATAAAATGAAACGATATATAAGCAGCCGGATCATGTAAAATCTAACGTACTATTTTTTTTTAAACTGTTATTGAACTTATTTTAAATTTATAAATCTTCATAAAAATTTCACAGCTCAGCATTATACTACATGGGCTGAAAAGTCTTTGGCTTAACAATGAAAAAACGATTTTTTTTATGAAAAAAGTGTTTTATTCCTCGACATAATCTCCATTTAGAGTAATGCACTTAGTGTAACGGTCCGCTAACATTTCGATGCCGGTCTTATGGTGCTCGGTGTCAAGTCCCTCAAAATAGGCATTTGTTTCCAACTTGACCTCCTCATTCGAGTAAAATCTTTTATCAGCGAGCCACTGCTTTAGTCGGGGAAAAAGGAAATAGTCGCTGGGGGCCAGGTCTGGAGAATACGAGGGATGCGGGACCAATTCATAGCGCAATTTCTTTAATTTATCGGTCGTATCGCGAGCCGAGTGAGCTGGAGCATTATCTTGGTGAAACAAAATTTTTTTCTTTGCCAAATGTGGCCGTTTGACCTTGACCTCGTCGTCCAATCGATCCAGTAATGTACAGTAATATTCTTTATTGATAGTTTTACCATGTTCAAGATAATCAATGAATATTATGTTATGCGCATCCCAAAAAATATTGGCCAAAACCTTGCCGGCTGATTGTTGTGTCTTCGGGCTTCGGACTTCGGGCTTCGGACGGCTTTCACCAGGCAATAACCATTCCGCTGACTGCCGATAGGACTCCGGTGTGATGGATCCATGTTTCATCCATTGTGACAAATCGACACAAAAACTCCTTATTGCGGTTAAACAGGGCCAAATTTTGCTTTGAAAGTCGAACACGTTC